GTTTAAAAATCCAAAATTCTCTGATTAAAACCCCCAAAATCTGTGTTTTTCTGTGATTAAAATGAAAGGCCACTATATATATAAGTATCAGATTAACATAATGTTTTATTGATATATTTACAAATTTGAAGTAATTTGGAAGCCTACCAATGCCTCAATCATTATAATAAAATACATTCTAAATACTGTTGTATATGAATCTTGTAGGGCTAAAGCAAGGCTTAGCCAGTGAGGCCATTTCCTTGTCCTTTCGCCTCCATTTCATTAAAGCGGACATAGCACTTACGAGACGGCTGGCGGAAAAGGGGTACTGTGTAAGGGTTACTGATAAGATATGAAACTAGCTGAATCCGGTCAACAGAGGAGTCTCGTCAACAGAGGAACCTTGGAGGTGGTACAAGGATTATTTTTGTAAGATAAGATTCATCTTAGCAAAAATATATGGGGCATGTAGTCACGAGAGTTAAACTTCAGTGTTCACACTCACAGTGCCACTTAATTGGATAGAATAGTGATTTAGTTAATAGATGATTGGGTATTTTTACAAGCACGAGCTAATCACGAACTAATGCTGACGTATTAACAAAGTATAAAATAGTATTATATCTAGTAGGCGAGGTCCCTCCTCGGAGGCACCTCGCTGCAGCAAATAAAGATTCTGTATCTGACTTTGGATACTTGCTCTGTGTGATCATTGCCCCAGCCTAAAGCGAACTGCATGTGGCTTTAAGAGCGTAAGTCGTAACTATGTATTTTGGTATTTGATTTTGTTTTTTTATCATAGAAAATAAGAGCTCTCCCTGCCCTCGTCGTTCACCAGGACGTGGGTCCAGCTGCGCTGTTCCCACAACTACTTTGTGCTGCTGAGCAGCACTTATATGCCGATGCCCTGCCCCTGCCCATGTCATTGCCTCTCACTCCCAACCCACTGCCACCACAGCCCTGCTTGCCCCCCACTTGCTCCCTCCAGGCACTAACTCCCCCCCAGCTGCACCAAGTCACAGATCCAGCTGTGGATGTCCCACCTGCTGCTTTGTAAAACTGAGCAGTGCCAGCACCTGCTATTCTGCTCCCTGCACGTATCCCCAGGCCCCAGTGGTCCCCATGCCCTTCCAAAGAAACCCTGGGCTGGGGCTCAGGGACTGGGCTGGGCAAGCCCCTTCCCTTCCAGCCCAGCCTTCCCCTACATAGACTGCTTTAGTGAGCAGGCCAAGGGGCTTCAGAACTCAGCCTGGAGGCCACTTCTACCTGGAGCCACCTCCCCCACCTCTCTCTCTTGCACACACACGCACCCCCTGCTGCTACCCCCAGCCCATCTCTCTCTCTCTCATACACACACACACACCACAGACTCTGCTGCCACTTCCACCCCTCCCCCCTGGCCCATCACAATCCCCCTGCGGGGTTACCAGGAGCCCCTTGGGGCAAGCAAGGCTGACAAAGCCCTGTGCCAGGCAGGGCAGCATGTGGGCTAGCCATGCCGCTCCTCTCCTCCCCACACCCTGCCACACAGTGCATCCCCAACTACTGGCTCCAGTGCTAACACCAGCAGCGCTGCCAGCAGGCATCACAGATGCATGCTAGCAGGAAGTTGTGTGGTGGTGTAGGGAGCAGCAGGGCAGCAGCCACTGGCACAGTGGATGGGCAATGCTCGCCCCCAGCACCCTGCCCTGGGCACCACCCCAGCTGGGAAGCGCCCCACCCCAAGGGTGCCTGGCCTGGTGGGCAGGGGCACAACACATGCCCTCCATCCCATGTTGAGCTGCTACCACTGCCACTGCCACCTCAGATGGGCAGTGCCCCCAGTCCCATCCCAACTGGGTTGAGCCACAACAGGACAAGGCAGCCTGAACCTGCCCTAGCCTTGGCCTGCAGTGCAGGACAGGATGATTGTCACCCACACACCCCTGCCCTGCTCCTGCCCACCCTTGAAGATGTCCCTTGCAGCATGACCCTCATCTGGCCCACAGCTGTCCCCCCCCCATCCCTTCTGGAGGGGACCCCCAGCTGCCCTCCACCCTCAGGGCCCAGCCCCCAAAAACCCTACTTACCCCAAAGGCCACTGGAGGGAAAGTGAGTCTGAGCCACCCCTGACTGACTTGGATTTTCAGTCCCTGCTCCTACCCCCTCCCTTAGGGCTTAGGGGTTCCCACCTTTCTGCAAGTAGTTCTTGCAGGCTGGAACTTTACCAGCCTGTAGAGAGAGCTCTTTGCAAGGGGAAAACCTGCATTTTCCTGCTTCAGAGGGGGAAATCTGCATTTTTCTCCTTCAAAGGGGAAAATACATGTTTTTCTGCATTTTTCTGCAGGAAACCGAAAACCCAGATCAATGTCAGGCACCTGACTAGACCTCTTATGTGTACACCATGATCCAGAGGATCAAAGGTACTAATAAACCTAATTGTTATGGTCTTTTCACTTATCTCTTGTTTTTTTTATTTCAATATTAGAGTTGCTGTTAAAATTTATTTGAATCTATTTCCTTAGGTGAACTTTTACAGTGGCAGACTTCTCACACCTTCCTTATTCTCCAGAATCTCTCTGGGGGTCAACAGACTCTAATCTAGCCCTCCCCATAAACAGATTACATTCCAGTGAGATTTAAATAGTCTCCCCTGGCTGCAGCAGCAGGAGACAACAAGATTCAAGTTCACCATGGCTGCACAAAAGGAAATGTCTGCTAATTTCTACTAAATAAGTAATTTGTTAGCATACCTGCTCGTAAAAGACTGTGCCAGGAGCTCTGTATATGCAAGGCTGCTTATGTATCTGTCATTAAACTTTCAAGAACAACTATGAGGCTCCAGACTCCATTTGCCCTAGTGCTATGGCTGAGGGGGAACCCAGGAACCTTGAACAGAAAAAATAATTTAGAAACCTATTTTGTCTCTAAAGTGGCCCTTGTCTAAGGAATTTACATGCTTTTAGAATGGCACAGAGAAGGCCTAGAAAATGAGAGATGTGGGGTTGTTAGGGACATTGTGAGTCAATCCTTATGTGTGAATTAAGTCAACTTAATCCACAGCACAGGTAGGAGCTACTTTCCCCCAAGATCAGTCACTGGCTAGCGATGCAGAAGCAGTAGGAATAGTTCAGTGCAGGCATCTGGGAGAAGTCTGGTCAGTGAGAGGCCATGAAAAGCCCTTTCTGAAGATCCATACTAGCCCTGCTCTAAAGTGATTATGGGTCCTCTTGCTGACACCAGCCTGTCCCTCAGGTCCCAAAGTCCTGCTTTTATATGGAACAAACATTAAGTAGTCCAGCCACTCCCAGAATCTCCTGGGGCAGGCCATTGCCTTCAGACGTCTATATGAACCACACACACCAAAGCTTTTTTCCTGTGTACTACTTTGTTCTCAATAAACCCAACAGTCTTGCTCATGACACAGCTAAGCCAACAGGCACAGAAAGACCTGACAATGCCCCAATACTGGAAATCTAGCCAACCGCATCCCACTTCATCTACCCACCATGCTGACTTCAGATATTCTTGTTCTCTGTAGCTGTTGACCTGTTATTTTGTTACTGTTTACCTGATTCTGGTGACCAGATGTCCTACCCAGCGGTCTGATCTCTACCCTTTCATCTTATTCCTTTTCCTCTCTCCCAGGACAATGAAGCTTACCTCTTCTATCTCTTTATAGGGGAATTTCTTCTCACCCAAAATGATGTCACAAGAGTTTTTTCCTTGGAGTTTAGTTGCATGAACTCTCTGGATTACATCCCTATTGCCCTGTGGACCTAGTGCATCTAGCAAACAGTCTCTCACTTGCCACATGACAGAATTTGCTGTCCCTTGCTGAGCACACTGGGAAACTGCTTCCAGTGGCTAACAGATCCCTGAAGAGGGTGTGGATAGACATATTGATATTGAATAGTACCCATATAAGTTGTTGTAACTGTTACGTCTGCTTGCTTTTATAGCAATACAAGTCTAGCAATACCTTTGCTACTTTAACCCTGTTGCATCCAGGTTAAAGGCACAGGGATTTAGCTCATTTATACTGCTATAGATTTCATAGATTTCAGACATTAGGGCTGGAAAGGACCTTGAAGATCATCAAGTCCAGCCCCCTGCCCCAGGGGCAGGAAGTCAGCTTGGGTCAAAGGAACCCAGCAAGATAAGCATCCAAACGTTTCTTGAATGAGTCCAGAGTAGATGCCTGCACCACTTCTGGAGGGAGTCTATTCCAGGCCTTGGGGGCTCGGACAGTAAAGAAATTTGTCCTTATGTCCAGCCTAAAATGGTCTTGGAGGAGTTTATGACCGTTAGTCCTTGTTATCCCTCAGGGCACTCTGGTGAACAGGCATTCCCCCAGATCCTGATGCACACCCCTTATGTACATATAGGCAGCCACCAGGTCACCCCTGAGCCTGTGCTTCTCCAGGCTGAAGAGTCCAGTGGCTCTTCAGCCACTGTATAGGAACATACAGTTTGAATTTAAACATTCCCATAGCATTTGCAACCCAAATATTACAACATTGTTACAGGACAGGAGGACTTGCCAATGAAGCAAACTATTTCCTCCTCACCGCTGGCTAGAATGAAGTGCAAAACAAAAAGAAACAGCAGGAGAAGGGAGAAATCTTTCACTGAAACTGAAGCAATAAAATCCAGTCATCTTTCCAAAGGCTTATTTATCACACAGACAACAAGGTGATCTCTTACCCAGCACATTACTTTTAATAATCCCAAATGACCATTTTGCCAATCCCCTTTCCCTGGAAAGTAGATGTCTCTAGCCATGGTCTTATGATCTCACAGGTCACCCCTCTAGTTCTATAAAGTTCACAAAAAATATAGGACAAGAAGAGGCCTCCGAGGTCATCCTATCCCAATCCCTACTGTGGCAGGGAAGCACATCATATTACTCTGTTCACACTGACTAAGCTCCTTTGTCCTTCTTGAACCAGGTGAAAATGGTCTGGAATTGTGGGTGTTTAACTTCAAAAATGTGTTACCTACATTGTTTCAGCACTTGGCTTGGCTTTTCACAGGAAGCATCCTTTACCCATTTAGCAGACAATACAATCACTAGCCAGCCCCTAGATGTAAAGAGTTATTACAATGGCCTCTGAGCATTCCACAACTCTACCGCATCTGTCATACGGCTCACGGTCTACAACAAGAGATGTGCTCAGTGGCGTTTATCTGGACTTGCTGCTCTTTGCCTGTGATGGTCAGTGATGTCCAGCAGTTGTTATTGCCATTCACAAGAGTCTGGGAAAGGAGAAGGTAGCAGGGATATAAGGAACTCAACAACAGTGTTGGGTCGAAAGGTAGGCATCAGGTCCAAATTCACTTATGTGAAAGGCTGCTTTGGTTTATGCCTATTCTCTGCCCTTAATGAATAAAGAACCTGTTTCCATGTCAATCCCAATCCTGAGACTGAACAACTGAGAACAGTGTAGGCCATAGCCCCTTCCCTGCCAGTAGATCACCACACAGAGAAAGGTGTGTCTATTCCCAGGAGTGAGGGGCTCTTTCTGCATGGAGATCTATAGCTTTGTGGGTTCCTCTGGGTCAGAGCTTCTGTCAGGAGACCGTGTGTGTTGGATCATGGAGGGTGTGAGCAGCACTATGGGCAGGGAGCTGGTGCCCCGCTCATGCCAACACATATCCACAATGGGGTAGAGTTTCCCCTGGAATTCTGCCTGGAAGGTGTAAATGGGGAGAAGCTCATTGGGGCTGTCCGCATTGTAGAAGGTCAGTTCACCCTTCTCATAGTGTAGGTAAATGCCAATGCGCTGGGGCCGAGTTGTGAGCGGCAGTGTGGTGCGTGCAGTATTGAAGGCCTCATAGACCTTACCTTCCTTCAGGCCAATGAGCCACGCACCATGCTCAGGAGACTTGCTCAGCTTGCCTTTGCGGCTGGTTGTCCCCTTGATGATGCCCAGGCGCCAGTGGCTCTTGATGCCAACAAGCACCTCCCAGTAATGCCTGCCCCAGGAGAAGCCCTTGTTCGTCAGGATGCAGTTGCTGGAGTCAAAGCGCTCAGGATTGCTGTCCCGGCGCTGATAGAGACCACACTGCACAACTGTGTTTCCCTTGGACAGCTCCAGGTGAGGGTGTGCAGTTGCCGGGTCCAGTTTCAGCGTTTCTGGAGCTAAAGAAACACAGGGTAATCAGAAGTGCCTGGGGAAGATCTGAGCATCTGGGATTTCTGGCCCCAGGTAAACCACTCAGCTCGAGTGTGTGAGCAGACAGGCTGGGCTCAAGTTAACCCCAAGCAGTTATCCGGGTTAGACCAAGACCAGGACTTGGGATGCTCTGAGAAGACAGGCAGGCCTGGCCACATGCCAAAGAGCACTGACAGAGTTCAATCAGTTTAATGGGCCAGGCCTGGGTGTGGCACTCCTGCCTGTGAGCTCTCAGGTATGCAGGATTGTGACCATGTCAGATAAAGCTTTACATATGTACCTGACTACACTTTTACGTATTCTGACCCAGGCAATTTGGCACATGCCAGGAGGCTGTGAGCCTGTTTATAGATATCCTACTTCAAGCTGTAGGTGGGTGCACAAGTGGGTATAGGACATGCTACAGGAAGCTTAGTATGGACAGCATGGTACCTGGCAGGACTCTGCGATGCAGACGTTTCCATACAGTCATCTTGATGTCATCTTGATGGAAGCCTGGCTTGAAGGAGACAGCGCTGAAGGTCCCTTCCAGTGGATTCAGCTGGGGAAGCTCTGACCTAAAAGAAAAATAGTGTTGAGAGAAAAACACCACAGAGTCTGATAAGAACATTGCGAGTGTTCATGTGAGGCAAAACTACCAGGATCTTATTGGCTGCTCTAGCTGCCATGTGGGAGCTGCACTTCCCACTCCAGACAGTTGGTGTTGGGTAGCTGGGCCAAAGAGTGGGCACTAAGCATATGTGAGCTGAGCTAATTAAAAGCACCCACACGTCACGTGTATCAGTGGCACAGCGCATCCCCATGCTGAGAAAATGGTGGCAGGGTGCTTTGAACTAGAGCACATCAAATATGTTTTAGATGAAAGTGCACCGCCACCATTTTCTCAGCACGGAGGCACAATGTACCACTGATACACATGACACATGAGGCTGCCAGAGTACAACAATTTACATGCTCCAGCAGACTCGATTAATCAAGTCTGCTTCAATGCTCTGGATCTCTAGCGCATTGCAGCAGGCTCCCCACATGTGTGTAAGTACCCTAAACCATGCCAGATGGAGGGTGTGTAGGTACCATGCCATTCTTATTTAGGAGAATGGAACCTGTGGTGTGAGGGACACAAAGACACTTGCAGCCACAGTATGGCTGTAATCTGGCTCCCTCCAGAGACTGTCCAATCTTTATTACAATCCCCCTAGTACAGCCTGGCTACTGAGTGTGGAGGGCCAGGATTCTGTTATCACTTCACATTTCCCTTTCTTTACAAAGAACAAGATTAGCTTACAACATATTACAAAAGTTTAACAACAAACTGTAATCCTTAAAACTATTTACACTGCTGTCCCAACCAAACAATATGTATACTTAAAACTGTAAATGGATGTTTAAAGGTCAAGTCTCTGCAGAGTTCTGCTTAGTCTTCCAGACCTTGTTCTAACTTTTTTAGAGCTCCCATGTCTAAGTGAACCTTTATGATGACTTCTTTGAGAAGAAGGTTCATTTTCATGCTCTGACCCTGTCTCCTTGGTAGTTGATCTTCTTGAGGTGGAATACATTGAAGATGAACCTTGTATTGCAAAGACAGAGTGCAGTGATTTTTTTTCTCTTTTTTCTAATTTCCCCTTGAACTGGCCACACATTTCTAATGCCGCATTACTTGTTCCTCTGAGAATTTTATCTGACCTTTTTATATCTCTGACCCAGGATGGATCATAATCTTTTGCAGGGATGGCAGTAACTACAGTTTCAGTGTCTATTTTGAGTGGACCATTAAGATTTATATTACTGTACCAAGTTTTGATTCTTCTGTTGAAGATATAGTTCCTAGTAGGAGAGGCTTATTGTTATCTGATGGCACTTCCTTCTCCTGAATGACTTCCGCTTGCCTACATGATCTGCACTCCCTTGCAAAATATTCTCTCTTTATTTATTGATGACTATTGTTGTCACTGGTGGTTTGCCACATCTGCCACACATTTCAGTGCTTCCACAATTCAAGTTTCTTGATTTTTTTGCCTCATTGTTACTCTATTTTTATATTGTATCTTAGATCTTGTCTCTTTATTATGTCAGTGTTACCTGATGAAATTTTAGATATACTATTAGCTTATAAGACGTACTACTGTATTATCATTTCTTGCATCTTAACTGCAGTATTCAGTAAGAGCATGAAATGCAGTAAAAAAGATTCGGCTGTACCCCCTGGGTCCTAGTATCTCAATATGGCTGCACAAGGAGCTTCTGAAATGCCCCAAATGCAAAAGGAAAGCATACAGGCAATGGAAGAATAGGCAGGTCACCAAGGAAACATACCAGGAAACAGCAAGAACCTGCAGGGACAAAATCAGGAAGGCAAAGATAAAGAACGAGCTGCATCTGGCAAAGGAGGTTAAGGACAACAAGAACAGGTTCTATCAGTATGTTGGCCAGAAAAAAAGAACCAAGGAAGCTGTGCGTCCTCTGTTAACAAGTCAGGGAGAACTCCTAACTGAAGGTGCAAAGAAGGTGGAGCTACTCAACCATTACCTTGCCTCGGTCTTTACAAAATAATTAAGCTTCAGCCAGACACCTAATAGGAATTATCTGGATAAGGAAGGGGGCAAGATGAAGGAGGAGATAACAAAAGAGATGGTCAGAGAGTGTTTGATGGGTCTGAATTAATTCAAGTCAGCAGGGCTGTATGAGCTTCATCCCTGGGTCCTGAAGAAACTGGCAGAGGAGATCTCAAAGCCCTTGGCAATGATATTTGTGAAGTCATGGGAGAGGCCAGGTACCAGAGGACTGGAAAAGGGCTAATACAGTGCTTCTCTTTTAAAAAGGCACAAAGGAGGACCTGGGGAACTACTGACCAGTTAGCCTCACCTCAGTACCCAGGAAGTTACTGGAGCATGTCTTGCATAATGCCATTTGCAAGCATTTGGAGAAAGAAGAGCTGATTGCAAGCAACCAGCACAGATTTATGAAAAACAAATTGTGCCAAGCAACCTGTTCTCCTTCTTTGACAAAGTAACTACTTGGGTGGGTGAAGGGAATGCTGTAGATACAGCATATCTGGAGTTCAGCAAGGCTTTTGACAAGGTCCCATACAACCTTCTCAGAAACAAACTGGAGAAAAATGGGTTAGATAAAACTACTATAAGGTGGGTAGATAACTAATTCAATAGCTGCAAGCAAAGGGTAATAATTATTAATGGATCCATGTCAGAATGGCAGGAGATTTTGAGTTGAGTCCCACAGGGGTCTGTCCAAAACCTGGTACTGGTCAATGTATTATTAATGACTTGGACGCTGGCATAGAAAGCTTCTTGAGCATGTATGCAGATGACACAAAACTGGGAAGGACTGTGAACATGTTGGAGGATACAAGCATAATTCAGAAGATGCTCGACATATTGGAAATTGGTCTGAAGCTAATAGGATGAAGTTCAGTGCCGACAAATGCAAAATGCTACACCTTGGAAAGAATATTCAAAAAACATAAAAACAAAAATGGGTGACACCTCACTGGATGGCAGCACTATGGAAAAGGATCTGGGATTCCTAATAGATTACAGACTCAATTTGAGTCTGCAGTATGATGCAGCCAAACAAAAGGCAAATGTAGTTTTGGGATGCATCACTAGAAGCATTAGATACAAGACATGGGAGCAGTGTTTCCTCTAAACTGCGTGGTGTGCACGGCTGCGCAGGCATGCCTGGCAGTGTGACATGAGCGCACCTGCGCAGCCGCGCACACCATGCAGCTTAAAGGGATCGCTGTATGGGAGATGATAGCATCTCTCTACCCAGCACTTGGTTAGGTCTTATCTGGAGTACTGTGTGCAGTTCTGGGCTCTAAATTTTAAAAAGGATGTGGAAAAGTTAGAAAGAGTCCAGAGGTGGGCAACAAAAATTATAAAGGGCTTTGAAAGCAAGTCATACAAGAACAGGCTGAAGGAGCCAGACATGTTCAGCTTGTGGAAAAGGCACATATAGTATATGAGAGTATATGATATTAGTCTTCAAATACTTGAAGGACTGCCATAAATAAAAAGGAAAGCACCTTTTTTCTCTTGCTGAAGGTAAGAGGACACATACCAATGGCTTAAAGTTTCAGCAAAGTAAGTCTAGAATAGATATCCAGAAAAGACTTCTTCACTAGTTGAGGACTCTCCACCACTGGAGGTGTTCAAGAAGAGGCTGAACAGGCACTGGTCGGGGATGATCTAGGCATAGATAGCTATGCCTATGTTCTACTATAGGTATTTCCCATGTTTCTAGGCTTTGCTAGTGGTGTCCATGCCCTCTCTCCGACCCCCTGCCACCCTTTATGTTATATGTGTCAACGTGATTTTAAGTCTTTCCAGAGGCATTGGGTCCCCAGGCTAGGGACTTTGACTGGGGTTTGCCAGTACTCCTGCTGGGATCAAAGAAACAGGTTCCTGGATAGGGGGTCCTGTCCCCCTGCTCAGGTTTAGACTGATCACCATATTTGGGGTCAGGAAGGAATTTTACCCTATGATCAGACTGGTATGGACTGTTGGATTTTTTGCCTTCCTCTGTAGCGAGGGGCATGGCCCTCTCCCCAGGACATCTTGAGCATATATTGACATTTTATAGAAACAGGACATGGTCTGCTATGGTTCCCATGCTTTACCCATGGCAGGTTAGGGTGCTAGGTCTATGTTTTGTCAGGGTTGCTGGTAGTCTTATGTAAAGTTTAGATTATGGTTATATGGGATGGTCTGGATAGGGCTGAACCTGCCTCAGGCAGGGGGTTGAACTAGATGATCTACAGAGGTCACTTGCAGCCCTACTTCTCTATGATTCTATAATTCACACCAGTCCCCTGAATAGGCACAGTCCATAACCATTCTTAGGAAATGTTTCCCTACTTCTGGTTCCAGCTGTCATGACTGCACAGCAGGATCCAAGGAGGGTTTACTGGGAGTGAAATGTTTTGGGTGCACATCACTCACCTGGAGATGACTGAGCCATGTTTCTGTAAAACACAAGATGTACAAAAGTGAAGTTAGTGCTGGCAGAGCCCCAGCCACACATTCAAGAATATGCAGGGTCTTCAGGCATCACGGGGTCTCAAAGCATGGGTATACCCTAGCCTGCCTGCTAGAGCACTCTCGCTCACTCCCAAACCATGCTCCCATCTGACCCAGGTGCCAGAGGATGAATCTTAATGCTTCCTCCCCTTACTGCTAGGCTGGGAGGATCACTGGAAGCTTCACAGACAAGAGAGCAAGAGAACTCAGGGACCAGGATGGGAGTGGGTGGTGTAAGGGAGATGGTGTGAAGAGAAGGCTGGACAGGGTCCAGTGAAACAGAATTGTGCTCAATTATTTATACCACTATGCCCTAGGCAGGCATGGCAAGGTGCCCAGTTCTCCACTCTCCTTGCCAGGATACATGGGGCTACCTAACTCCATCTTTTCCTGTTGTTGACGGGGAGGGGGAAATTGTGGTGAAGTCTGTGGCTCTATTTTCTTCATGGGAGCAGGAGTCGGATACCTCGCTCTCTCCTCTATCAGTGGGATGCCTAGGAGAGTACCTGGGATGCCTGGGAGAGTACCTGGATTTCTACTTCCAGGGAACCTCCATGGGGACAACTCAACTCCATGGGGACAACTCAACTGACTGCTTTCCCAGTGGCATACTTAGGGAAAATGTGCCTGTGAGCTGAGGAGGCTGTCCCCTCTCCAGGCTTTTGCTATATATTCCCTTGACAGGAAGACTTACCCGGATGAAATCCAACTGACTTTCATTGTTGAGTTTCTCTAATGAACTCTCTACTTCCTTTAACTTCTTCAGGGTGTCTGATGTCTGTTTGACGTGGGACTCAATAGAGGCAATGAGGCGAGCAGCCTTTATTTCAGTGCTTTCCAGGAAGCTGGCCTTTTCCTCGTCGATGTAGCGATGCAGCTCCTGAAACTCCTTCCGGATCACCCACTTGAAGACATCTGACTCATTCTGCAGGGACACTGCAAGTTACCAGAGTGGCAGGAAAAACCCTGTGACAGGGGCAGGGTGGATTGGCCTGTTTCTGCTAAGCAGAGCTCAGCAGGATGTTCTTTGTCAGCAGACCCTAAGGCAGACCAAAGGTGAAATGCAGGTCACTGTCTTTTACAAGACAGCCTAACTTCCTAACAAACAAAAGCAACTTATGAATACTACAAACTAGATCCTATTCCACCTGTTGGGCATCTAAGTGGAATTAGACACCTAAATGCATGTCTAGCCAACCCTGTTCAAGTCCCTGAAAATCCTTGCGTTTACTTTTGTGACACACCATCATCTTAGCCTTGAGTGACAAAAAAGCAGTAAGGAGGAAGAGGAATCACCATCTTTTACATTAACAGTTTTTCAGGAACTCAAGCATTTACCTGCCTAATAGGTCTAATAGGATCTGGCCCTACAAGGAACAGCATGTCATTCTCCATTTTATTTGGAATAGCATGCTAGGACCTGTAGCCTGTAGAGGCTGTTTCTGAAATATAGTATATCTGTTCAAAAAAAATCAGACATTGTCAGCCTTCTGGAAGGCCAGAGTCCTGATGTCCTTGCTTGGACGAAGTCTGGCTACCCCTGAATCGCACCTTTCCTGTGAGGGAAACTAAGTCCTTGGCCCAAATGCAAACAAGGCTGGAATGAAAGCTTTTGCTTCACTCACCCAGCTTAGACTCAACTGAGAAGGTAGAGTCTGTGCAAGTGTTCCCTGTGTCATACACTGGATGTCATATGCACCTCTGCTATAGAGGAATACCACATTTTCCAGGGCCAGGAAGTGATGCCCAATATGGAAAAATGCCTTCAAAGGGATTAGCAGATGGAAAATGAGCATCAAGCCAAATCTAGCCCATCTATTGACTCCCCACTTTCCATGTTTTAGCAATATAAACTATCGGTATTGACCTTGTTGGAAAGTCAGCTCTGGCCAGGGTGTTTTCTACCAGTGTTATCTCACCTGCAAGGACATTAAGTCAAACCAGCTTTGAACACTGAATTTTCCAGCCAGCATAAACTCCTGCCAGGAGGCTCTGTGCCACAAGAGACAATCACTAGAAAATAGATATTTTTAATTCAGAGCTTGTGGGAAGAATAACAAATCCCTTCCCCCACAAGGAGCAGGCATGGAGGATTAACTGCCTGCTGCTATTTTGAGGAAGCAAGGTGCTTACTCACCTGCCAAACACCCAGCCAAAGCATATGGAAACAAGGGGAGGCTGGCACTATGTAGACTGGTTTGGTGGGACTTTTGAGACAAAAGGAAGAACTGCTCCCAATGTGAGACACAAGGAACTACAGGATTTACTGTTCATATTGCTAGAGCACCCAAAGACCAATCATGTCAAGCTTCTGATATGCAAGGTGGTGTATGAGTGTGTGGTGGGAAGCCCCTGCCTCTGACAGCTTGCAATCTAAGAGACAAGACATAAGACATACCAAGTAGATGATATAAACAAACAAGCTGGCTAAGATAAAGGTAGCTAGGATAAGAAACTAATAGGATGCACATAATTCTTAACCAGTCAGGAGCAGTGATGACATAGGGGGCTCCCCCGGCTGCAAATGCTGGGAAGCTGACTCCTCCCTGCACTCACCGCAATTCGAATTTTATTGTTAACCAGCTTGCTCATGTGTTCATCCAGGTTCCTTTTTTGCTGCTGGACTTCAGTTAACAGCACAGAGAGCTCCTCCTGCAAAGGAAGTACACGCTTCTGTTAGACAGGAGTTTCTGCCCGAGACCACTCCAACCAAAGGAGTGGCCAGGCTGCTCACATATCCCAGATCTGGTTCTGGAGCCCATTCATGTCTCATTTGTGCAAGCCAGCCTGCCCTGGAAGGGAACTGGCTTCACTTATAGAGAATCATGTTCCATGTTCCTTTGTTCACTGGCTTCCCAGAATGGCTTCACTAATAGGATATAAAGCATTAAGAGATAATATTCTTCTGGGCTAAATGGAGAATGAATTCATGACCTTACATCCCTTCTACCCTAGCCCACCAATAGGCCTTTTTAATATCACATTACTTATATATTCTTAATGCTAGCAATCAGGGCAAACTCTGAACAGGGAAATAATGTTCTGTCCTTTTAAGAATCCTCCTATAGGCTTATTTATGTAAAATATCTTCTTTCTTTTCTTTCCTACATGAATGTATACTGTTAAATAGCTGCTGCATTCCACTCCAGAGGTGGCTGCATTATAGTGGCAACCCAAGAGACAAGTATATGAAATGCAACACTCCCCACCAAAATCCAAATCCTTCAAACCATAAAAAAGCCAAAATACACAAAGATCTTGCAATGTTCAAGTATCGTCAAATCTCTAAGAATCCGCAGATGTGGAAATTAAGGTCCCAAGAGCTAAATTCACTTGGTGACAGAAGATATGCTGCAAGATACAATTTATAACATATGCGTGCAGCAACATACTAAGCTGCACAGTGAAAGGACACCATCAGCCTAATACTGTCAGTTTATAAAAATAAATCAGTAAATGAAAGTTGATAGGACTTTTATACAAATGCTTGTTCCAAGCCCCCATCCAATTTTTGTGGTTGTCAAATCCCATTTCCCTGTTTTAAAGAATACATTTTCACAGCGGGGAGAGGGGTGCTATTAGAGCTGGCCACAGCCATCTGACTGGTTACAGGCAAAAGTCCTTCTCTGCACAGCCTGACTAGACTAGAGCCTTGCTACACTAGGGAGAGCAGGGCCAGAGGTGGACAGTTCTTTTGACAGAAGTTTTGTAGACAGAGAACAGCCACCACAGGGAAGCTACCAGAACGTGTGCGTACCCATGCAGCTCCTGTGGTGCCTCACAGCTTTGGCTGGATCTCAAGGCTCCCCTGTTGTGGCATAACCTCTTCTTTCTGCTGGCAGAGCAATGCCAGTTCTCTGAATGGCAAGCTTCTGCCACCACCTGGCAGCTGACAGAAAGTGTGCATAAACCTGCCCATGCTTTCTCCTAGCTGCCAAAGCAGCTTTAACAGGTGGTGCCTCCTAGGGTGCACTGTGCCTCCTGCTGGCACTGCAGTGGGAGTGGAAATGCATAGCTCCAACTGCAGGGGCTTGAACATTAGGCCTGTGCGAAGCGCCTAGTATTCACTTCAGATTTGGCCAATTCGGGGGACAGTGATTCGATTCAGTGATTCAAATCTCTATCCCAAATCAATTCAGCCAAATCTGATTCGGAGAGTCAGCCACCGCCAAATTGGCCCCATCCCCTGCTTGCTGTCAATGGCTGCCCTGCCCGCGCTCCCAGCTCTTTAAAAAAAAATTTTAAAGTCCCCATTCTCTATGCTGCCAAGCAGGGGGGGCAATCCCCGCTGTCCCCCACTGCCCTGTGCTGCATGGGGGGCTCTGCAACGAGCCCCCTGCCACCTCTCCCAGCCCCCCACCCCATAGCTGCCCTGCCCGCCCCAATTCCCAGCCTTTTAAAAAAAAAAAAAAAAAAGCCCTGAGTCACTGGCTCCTACCAGGTGAAGGGATGATCCCTGCTGCCCCGCATTGCTCCACGCTGCGTGGGGAGCACTGCCACAAGCCCCAGAAGCCCTGAGGCCACTGCAGCAGCCAGTGAGTGGTAGCTTTTTTCTTTTTTTTAAAGGGCTGGGAGCTGGAGCAAACAGGGCAGCCATGGAAGGGGTGGGGCTGGAAGAGCGGGCAGGAGTTGGGGGGCACTCAGCAGGGCTGGGGGAGCAGGCAGGGGATGGGAACTGGCAGGGATCCCTCCATGATCCCCTCCTCCAGCCTCCCCTCCCCCACCCCTACTTACCAACATGGAGTTTGGGTCCAGTTCCCTGCTGCAGCGAGTGGGGACTGCCCAAATCATCGAAGCTCTCTGAATCTTTTCCACATAAGTAACTGGTGCCTCCTGAACCTGGGAGGGGCACCCACAGAAGCCGCTGACCTTGGGGTGGGGAGGGGGCACCAGCCCTACCAACAGCATCAGTATCGGCTGTGAGGGGGGACACCGTCCCCACTGGGGACCATGTGCACCCCGTGCACCCCCTACCAGTCACCTATGCTTTTCCAAATCAATTTGGAGAGCTTCAAATCAATTCAGACCTTTTAACTGGTCTCCTGATTTGATTTGGATTCAGAGATTCAGCCACCAAATCAAGCCGAATCTCCTCCAAATCGAATCAACACCCAAAGCTTCACACAGCCCTAATGAATATGCTTTGGTGGCTTCCCTGTGATGGCTGCTGTCTCCTGGAAGGACTTCTACTGAGAGAAGGCCTGGGATGTGGACAAGCCCTATGTTGTTAAGATCACCTTTTCCCTGGTGGAGCCAAGCCCCTTATCTCTACCCCACAGTGATTTCTTTGTCCTGCCTGCTGTTTGCAAAATTTCCCAATTTGCAATCTATGAATCTGTTTAAAAGGATTATATACCCCCATACCAGGCTTATAGTGAAGGTGTTTTAAACAAGCAGAGCATGGGGCATACACTACCTTTCCCTTAGCTTGACCTATGGACATGGATCACTATCCTTCCTCTGTCATCTGTTCAAGAGGATTTGGGGGTTATGACAAACTGCACAGAGATTGACAGTGCAACACTGACCCTAAAGCCAGTGAGTCTTTCTGCTAAGGGCATCCTGTTTGAAAAGTAACTCCTCCCCTGCAGTCTGGATGGTCATCCTATGTTCCATACATGCTTTCACTGGAGGATTCAGTGAAGTTATTCCTCATTTACAATGATCAGAGAAAACTCTGAATCATGCATTTAACTCTGTTCTTAATCAGGCACATTCTGGTTCCTGAATCATAGCCCATAGCAAAGAGTCAGGCCCCAGGGTTCCAGTCTGGATGGACACAGCCTGGACACAGCTCACTTTGAAGTAGAAGCCAGGACCCAGGCTCTGTGCCTGGTGCAAAGCATGTTTCTTATGCCTTGCATTCTTATCTCTCTGGTGTCAGGAGCTGAAAGGAGCTGGGGCCTGAGGTTGTGCTTTTCCATTCCTGGGTGTTCACATGACTGGCTAGCCATGACCTTGCCTGTTTACCTCAAAAAGCTGAGCTCATTGTGTCCAGCCTGCAGCCTGTGTAACAGGAGCTCTGTCTCCCAGCTGTCCCTGGGGTAGCTTATCTCAGTTCTTATCTTCCGGGTCTTTTTGATGGTGTTTGAACACCCATGATGAAAGGACTCGGAGTAAACAGGGAAGGGCTGGCCACTCCTTCCTGTAACCCAATAAACTTCCTGCACTCCCTGTTATGGTTCAGGTGCAATGCCAACACTCCATCCTCTACTCCAATTTGTTTTGCCAAATATTAACTAATTCATTCTCCCAGTCCCTGAGAACTGTTACAGTATCATTCTCCCCATTTTCCAGAGGGAAAAGTGCACCAGGGAGATTAAAGAACTTGATCCAGGTGACAGAGAGATTAGTGTCAAGACAGAGGAAAAAACAGACACCCATTTTCAGATTGTGTAAGCCCTGTGATCAGATCTCTAGGCCAGAAAGTGAGCACATCTGCTCTAGATTCACTGAGATGGAACTGATACAGTCCCTTATCTGACAAGATCATTTTCTGAGCTGTTTTCTGAGAAGAAGGGATAGCTTCCTGGGATGTTTAGTTTATACTTGAGATAAGCCTGATTTATATTCTGAACCTGGCCTTCCCCAAAGTATGGGGCTGGAATTCAACTCCAAGCCAAAAAGATTCTATTAATGGAGGAACTTAAGCCTCTGGTTTGCAAAAGCTTTTTGTTTGCCTTCCTGACAGCAGATGCAATGGTTGGAGCTATTGCTCTGAGCCTGGATCAGTGCTCACCTGCACCTCAAAGCAGTGTGAGGTCAGTGAAGCACAGAAGATACAAGACCTCAGGATACAAGACCTCAGGTTGAGGATTACTTGGCTGTAGGACAACTACCAGCCAGCTGGGGGCCCTGGTGGATTTCTAGTTCCTATTCATTAAGTTTCAGGAGTCATTCAGCCAGTAGCATAACTAAGTTAGAATGACTGAGGTAGCAGTCTCAGATACTGACTCGGAGGAAAAAATAGCAGCTGTTGCCACAGCCACATAAACACAGCATAATGGCAGCCAGAAGTCACTAATGCCTCTGTGCATTACGGCTGCCCTGGGCGCCTGACTTCTTACACCTCCGCATTCAACTTGCCTGTCAGACACTCGTGTACGTACACACACACACACACACACACACACAATCCCTGTGCTGAAAATTCAACACACA